TAATTAATAAAAATTAGTTTGTTGTTAATGAGATCATTTTCTATTACGTTTGTTTGTATTAATTAAATTATTTATTTTTTTAGTCTTTAGTTAAACTTATTTTTTTTTTTTTTCTACATCACATTACAGGATGCAATGGAATATGCTGCAGAATCTAAGATGGCTGACATAGCTGAAGAACTTCTGGCCTGGTTCCTGGAAGAGAAGAATTATGAATGTTTTAGTGCCTGTCTGTTCCATTGCTACTATCTTCTACATCCTGATGTAATTCTTGAACTGTGCTGGCGTCATGGAATCATGGATTTTGCCATGCCTTACATGATCCAAGTCATGAGGGAGTACACCACCAAGGTATATCATGATTTAGTGAATGAATTAATTCATTGTGTAGTTTTATTGTTAATCATAAAAAACATGGTAGACATATATTTTCTGAATAGGTTATTTAGCATTGCATTAGTGTGTAGATTTAGGATGAAACTGGTCAAACTTTCTGAAATATTATTGGAGTTACGGATAAGAATGTTAGCATTAAAGAAACCTGGCTGATGATTCAATGTGAATTTATTCATAATTATGAAATGTGTATATAAAAGTGGTTGTCAATAGTATCTTATTGTTTTTGTAAAGGACTAAGGTCTAAAGCTCATATGGTAAAGGGATGTGCACATTAGTATCTGGTACTAGGCACTGAATACAATAGCTATGGTGCTGTGGTGTATTGATTTGTAGCAGTTTATTAGATCAGATTGTGTTCATTAATATGAATTATTTTTATTTTATTGGTATTAACTTGTTTCAGTTCTGATTTATTTAGTTATCTGACTTTTGATCACAATTTCTTGATGATAAGACCACATTGTATGCTGGAACTTTGACAGTAGGGTAATACTGTAAAATGGAACTACTTTACCAACTTCTCTTCAGACTAAGTATGTTAAGAAAACTTGATCTTTCTCATTTTATCAGGAAACTGTAGCAGATTGTTCATCAAAATTATATTTTAAATATCTCCTCTACAGATAACCAGAACTTGACAATACTATACAGTGTTTCCTTTTATAACACTATCTATGTAATGACTGAGACACAAGTTCTGTAAATGTAGCAAAAAGTTTGAATTTCTTGTTCTTCTTTCTTCTGTTTCTTTTTTATTACATGATAATTCAAAATCCAAAACAATGCTGTCAACCAATTTCGTCAAGGTGACATAGTTTTAAACAGAGTATCCGCTTTTATTAGTATTATTAATAACTAGTAGTAATTTTTTTATAAATCATAATTCTAGTGTAAACGATGTTATTATTACCCCTTGAAGTTAGCTTTTTTACAGAAACTTGATGTTCCTTTAAAAAGCTTAAATACAGGGTTAAACAGTAATGACCAGGGAATAATAGATAAAAGAATAAATATTACAGGTGGAAACTCATTGTATTTAGAACTTGGCTATAAATACAACCTTCCTATGTCTGTTGAAAAACTACATTAAAAAAAATAAGTAAAGAAAACACTTTTCAAATAAGGAAGTAAATGTAAGGATGGCTAATATCAATTCTTCAAAAACAATACAAACTCGATAGTAGGGATGGCAGTTGCACCATCACTACATAATACCATGGGCAAGAATTAACATATAGCAATATATATAACTATTCCATCACAATTGAGTTTAATTTATCCTATTTTTGTCTGTTAATTCTTTCAGCACAGGCTTGGTCCCTGGGATTGACCTCATAACCATTTTGTACTTGTTATAGTTTTCATGCTATAACTTTTAAATTAGTAAGTGTATGTTAATGAAATTTGGCAGATTATCAGTAACATTACAATGCCTTCATATGCAAAATATCAAATTTTTTTATCAAGTCTTAAGGTTTGTTAAGCAATGTTTTTCTCGTGTTTTTTTTCTTTCCACATATTGCCTATCCAACATGAAAAGTAATTTTCATTTTAAGATTAAAAATACTTTTATGCATCAGAAAAGTTTCAAATTTCACATGCGAAATCCTTATAATGCTTAGACTGTTATCAAATGTTTCTTAAGAAAAAACTATATTTTATCTGTTATTTTCACTAACGAATCTCTGTACAGGTTTCATAGATTTGACTAATCTTGTAACCACCATAAAAAAAGTATGAAATAAACATAAGTTATGCCTCTTTTGTTCTAGAATAACAACAAATTGTAACACGAAAACATAAATGTTTAGACTAAATAGCTTGAATCTCATAACATTATACATTTATATGTATTTATTATATTGATCTTTCAGCCATACCTGGCTAGCAATACAGAAGTTAAAATGACATGGCACATGTGCTCTCATGTTACAGTATCCAATAATATAAAACTGACCTTTTGTCTACAAAGTGACCTGTCTTGGCTGTGTTTTAGAAGACTTGTATTTTGTAAAATACAGTTACATTTCCATTATTATTCATTATATGTGTATATAGGTTTTTGCTATTTAGAAATAAGTTTTTAAACTTATTATTTATAAAACATAAGACAGTAAATAAAGAAGTAAAGCAAACAATTATCTCTTCTAGTTACAACCTTTGTACTTGGTTGTTGCTTGACGTAGGTTGCTAAGCCTTTTAAAATTTTGCACATGGTGGATATGAAACGAAATAATTTTTTTTTAGATTTTCTATATACATTTGAATAACCAAAAAATCATAAATTACTATATCGATACCATAGAATTCCACTATAATTTATCAAGCTTAGTAACTAATCTGTATTTGGGTCTAAAAAATATGAAATTTCAAGCAAACTAAAGACACAACCTACCTCCTTGAAATTTTGGTTTGATAGAAAGAGATGGTGTCCCAATAGATGAAAATGGCTGAGAAAGCCACTAGGGGACTATCTGAGCTTTCGATTGGTTATTTACATATGATATATAGAATTAAGTGTTTATAAGAGACCGTTTCCAAAAATGGAAAGAGGTGAGTGGGGCCACTGTGATTGATTCATTACATGAGTGACATATCAGCAAACAGAAAAGATACGAGGTTCTTATTTGATATTCTAGCTTCTGAATATTGGTAATTTGAGTTCCTAATTTGTATGAAACTATAGACTTAGTATCTTGACATCATAAACATCTAATTTGAACCAATGCTACATTCAACATACCACGTGACACACAAAAATTGATGTTTAACTGTGTTTTTTAATATTTACCTTTAAATTAAGAAATTAAATAATGTATAATACTAAAATATTAATTACAATCTACAGTTTGATACCAGACTTATTAACATAAATTCATGAAATAGTTATTCAATAAAATTTTGAATATGACTCGACAAACGCAATGACATGGCCTTTGTTCCGAGATCTGTCTGGAGAGGGTTATCATGCTACTACACTGTGTGCCTCTGCTTTTACGTAGTGACGATGGAAATGCCATCCCTACCATCTTGTTAGCATTGTCTTTGAAGGATTGATATTAGCCATCCCTGCACTACTTCCTTTTTTGAAAAGTTTTTATTGTAGCCCATTGCATTGGGTTTTATCAGATTTGCTCTGAATTGGGTCAAAACCAAAGAGTTTATTGGATTTTATTATAAGTAGAAATCATTTAAAACATCATAACATGCTAGTAGTTATCAAATGGTTTTAAGGTAGTAATTTTTAAAAGACAAGTCAGTTGCACATAAATTGTTGAATTCTCATTACTTCATGATATCATTGCAATATTTAAGGTTTTGTTAGCTTTTTTTTTTTATTTAGTGGTCCAATTATGGCCTAGCATTGGTTTAACTTCATTATTTTGCATATTTCATCACTTTTAGAAATACAGTACTCAAAAGATAATCAAGTTCAGCATTGCCGTCATACCGGAAGACTACCTAGTTTGTCTCAGTTCGGCAAACTACTTATTGACTTCTACACAGAGCATAATCTCAAAATATTTGACCAATTTTTTTACCTTACATGGCAATAAACATTATTATCATATATTTCATTCCAGCACACTGCATACATACAAAGTGTTTAATAAAACTATTGTGGGAAAAATTAAGGACTTTTAAAAAGGTTTTACTAGTATTAGGACTTATTTACATATATACACTAGATTTTTACAGGGTTTGCATTCTTCTGACATGGTCCCCTGGTGGTATAGCAATAAGGCTTCAGAGTTACAATGGTAACATCAGGGGTTCGTTTCCCCTTGGTGGACACAGCAGATTGCCTGATGTGGCTTTGCTATAAGAAAACACACACTCTTATGATACAAGGTTAAGTTTGACTTTCATTTAACTTGATAGTGATAGGGACAGTAAAAAATGTGATTACTTTTAGAAACTCTTGTTTAGGGAATTCTGGAAGTGGTGGAAAGCAGCATGGCATATAGCAGTTTATTGAAAATTATTTTTTAATCTTCTGTTATACAGATATTTGCTGATTATAAGCTTAGTTGATAGGTCATTGCTATGGATAGGCATGGGCAATGCTATAAATCTTTTTTATTATGAGCTCGAAAATTTTATAGATAAATTATATTAGAGCATGTAAGAATTTAGTTTGGATGATTCATTATTCAATCAATTCAGAATATGTAGTTACTAAGTTTGGTTACTGTTCTAATGTTCAGTGTTGTAGGTTTCTCAAACCTACTACAACTGTTACAGTACTGTTTACACAGTAAGTTGTGATTTTTTTTTTTTAAGTCTGTGAGACATTTGTTAATCCCAAGTAATAGGCTTGGCCCTTGCATGTAAAGTCCTTGTTACACTGATGTGTCGGTTTATAAAAACTAGCCAATGAATTGTATTCAAAATCTTATGAGTAAGGCAACTCACAGAGGAATGATTCTCCACATTTGAGACATTGAAGTGTGGCTACTCATATCCAAGTCCATTAGAGGTAATGTGATGAAAGATTACTGATTGTGCTAATGTAGAACAGTAACGAAGATGCTCAAAATGAATTACTCAGTAGTCCATGCAAGCTTTGAAACATGTTGTAAAGTGAAACTATTAAGTCTATCACCCAGAAATTGTAAGAGAATTCTGTACTGCAAGCCAGCACATTCACTGTGCACAGGGAGCTCCAAATTGCTTGGTTTGAGGAATGGGCTTCAGTCTATAAGCCATTCATCACAGCTGTGAATTAAAATTGTTGGCTTATGATGCCTTAAGCATCAAAATTGTGGGAAATAATACTGGAAAAACATCACATGGGAGGGGTAGATTCTGCTACCCTTTTTTTTTTTCTTTAAAGATGGAAGCTAGTCTCAATTTTCTTTACACTTGTAACTTGTTTGTGAAAGGAGTGTGGTACTATTTCACCACATGTGTACCAACAGTTTGTGACAAGTATTGGTAGCAAGAGTCCAAGGGTGGTTTCTCCCCCCCATTAAGTCTGAACCCCTGTTGCGAACACAACATCCCTGTGATGAAAATGTGTTGTGAAAATAAGGTTTTAATAATCATCCACTTGTGTAATGGTGCACTGCATTAGTAATTTTTCCTGTCTTTCCATCTTCTTTAGTTGAGAAGCTTCTTTGAAAAATACAGTATTTATTTTTCATGTATAGGTGGACAAATTAGATGAACGTGAAAGTGAAAGATTAGAAGAGTCGGCCCAGAATGATCAAAAACCAATAATTTATGGTAATATACTTTTATTATTGTTATTAATTTGTAAGATGTATCTGAACTACTGCCAAATAATGTTTCAAAATTGATGACAGTAATTGGTATAACTTTATTTTTCAGCTGCTCAAATGTATTTGGATTTGTTGTTCCATTATTATAAAAATGCCAACTTAATTTAAAAACAAATATTTTTCAGAGCCATTAAATATTACAGCTTATTTAAAATGAAAAGAAATTTATCAAACCATTGACATTTAATGTTGAAACGTGATGCACCTGTAAGAAAATACTACTGTAATGAAAAAGAAACTTTAACATTCTACTAATCGAAATACTTTAACCTTAAGATTTATATGGGCAGGTCCAAATAAGTTGTGTGTGTTTGGCATCCACCCCATGAGTACCATACATTCTGTGGCACTTGTGATTATATAATAAGCAACTTTTGCAATGAACTTTGCCATAAGATAGCATGTCAGTAAATCATTTCAATTAAATTATTGTTGATTTACTGAACAGTGAGTATATTGAATGAAATAAATATACCAATATTTTCTGGTGGTTCTTGTTTCTGTGTATTGTGTTTGATTGCTACCTTTTTTTTTTTTTTTGTTGAACATCAGTTTCAAATATAACATTCCTCTTATGACAGTGTGTTGTGAAAATAAGATGTGAATATTAATCTACTTGTGTAATGGTGCACTGCATTAGTAATGTTTTCTTGTCTTTCCATCTTCTTAATTGAGAAGTTTCTTTGAAAAATACACAGTTATAAAAGTAGGTTCATAAAGAATAAAGAAGATGTTTGTTAATAGAAGGTGTAACCATGTACTTAAGTTTAATTTCTTCACGTTTTTAAAGTATGGTCAACATATTTAGATTATTCAACTCTTCTGTTACTCTGTAATAACAAATGATTTATGGGCACTATGAAAGAGGGAAGATGTTGAAAAGATAAGCTGTTATATTGTTATAGATTTTTTTATATTATTTAATATTAATAATATTATTTTTAGTGATTTGGGTTGAATAACAAAAGATTAATTATATTTAGTAAGATTGGGAAATAAAAATAGTAGGGTTAAAGTTTTAAATTAGAGCTTAGTGATATAATCTGTACTACAACATTAGATTAGGTTTAGGACATGTAATTGTACTTTTAGGCTTAGCTGTAATTCTTCTTACTGGTAAATCATAAAACATGTTAAATACATTTGTTGCATATCTGCTTGTTTGTTAATTTCTGGTAGAAATTCTTTCCGAGGAAGTTCAGCGATACAAGTCCTTTCTTAATTAAACCAGTTTATTTTTTCTCGATACACACTTTTAATACACAGTAATTTCACGATCACTATGTTTCTCGTCACTTTAAACTTAACTTTTATAATACACACTACAAATCACAGTGATTCACACACTTTACTTGCCGTCACTACTGTTCTCTTCTTTAATTATCTCTCCCTTGCTGGCTTCTCTGCCAGGCTTATATACTAACAAAGGGGCATCCTGAATGCACTTGGACCTCGCTGATCATTCGAGAAATTTCATGTATGCTAACAGTGCCAAATACACAGTAATTTCACAATCACTATGTTTCTCGTCACTTTAAACTTAACAACTTTTATAATACATGCTACAAATTACAGTGATTCACACTTAACTTACTGTCACTGCTGTTCTCTTCTTTAATTATTTCTCCCTCGCTGGCTTCTCTGCCAGGCTTACATACTAACAAAGGGAGCATCCCGAATGCACTCGGGCCTCGCCAATCATTCATGATCGGTCGAGAAATTTCATGTATGCTAACAGCGCTAAACGTGCCAGAAGCATCACGTGACTTCCACTGTCGTAACACATTGTTTTATTAAACAAATACAATCTAAAGACATTGTTAATTGTCTTTTATGTTTTAAGGATTATCTTTTTTACTTGACTAGTTATTTGTCACTGCTATAAAATTAAATATAAACTTAATTAATTGAGTGTGAACATAAAGTAGTGATAAAAAACTAATATATTTGAATCTAAAACGTTAGGCTTAACAATAACAGTGTTGGCAATATGCTACTAGTATTTACATTTGGTATTGAGTACTTATTTCCAGGCTACAAATACAGTGGTTAAGATTAGAATTGGAGTTAAGCATTCACAGTTTGTTAGGTGTGATGGGTGCAATGAGTGAGTTTTATTTGAGAACTTTGGACTGGTATCTATAGTTTGTATGTTTGAGGCTATCCTAATTAAAGTAGAGGTACTATATAAAGAGAAGAGGTAACTGTGGGAAATGGCAGCAGGACTTCAAGAAGAACTTAAGCTTTTACATGCAAGGGATACATCAGCTAACAATGACTTTCAGGAA